TCGTCCATAAAATGCATTGCTGTTCTGGTGTAAGTAATCTTAAAGATTCCTAAATGCATCTACTTTCGGAAGGCCAAATAAAGTGCTTTTGCTTTTGCACTGAAACACATAGCGTCTCCCTGACATGCTGCTTCAACACTAACTGCGGTTATTGAAACCACGCCTTCTTTCTTTGCGTGCACATTTGGGAGGCATTATGCAAATATTCCCACATAGTGACCTAGACATGTGGGGGCGTGTTAGAACGAGCCGCAAAACTAAGATAAGAGAAAAGACTGCACACTTCAGTTTGTGGTAAGCACACAATCACTTGCAGATCTAGTTGGAGCAGTCATGCTCTCCACCATCTGGATGGCACACTGATAAAATCTGATGCACAGGAGCTGTGCTGATGAAAACCGCAAGCTATTTACATGCACAATCACCGTCTCTGCTTATTTGTTGAAGGCACTTTCAGACAATACGGCTTCTAGTGGAAATATCCCCTCATACAGCAGCACCTCTGCACTGCTAAATCACAGCAGCTTGACAGTGTGTTTATAAAAGAACAAGAGAGAATGATGAAGGTTAAATACAGAAAGAAACTGTAAGTTGTCGCATGCAAATCACAGATCGGAAATGAGATGACAAGCAGTTTTGAGAAAAAAAGTTTGGAGAAGCCAAGGGTCAATAAATGTAATAAAAAAAATGCTTAGCATGTAATTTCTTTTATAAAAAAGTATAATACTATACAATATGTACAAATAAATATGTACACTTTTTTTTTCAAATTCTAGGGATCTGTCTTGCTGTCTATAAGCAGTATCCTCACAGTTTCTACGCTGGCAAGTGTGCACTTCACACATACAGCATGTGACACACTAGAGGTATATTTTAAATATTTATATTGTATCACATGACTTTAGTCCATTTCATTCGAAATATGCATGCTTAAGTAACCACTGATAATCTGAACTAGAAGAGGAAGGAAAAGGTTGGTACTGACGGTCTTTTGACCATTGAAATTGTTAAAATCATTAATCATTAAATCATTAATTTGAGGCTTGATGAAGTGAAAATATTCTTAAATTGGATTTTTGTAACCTGACAAACAAAAGTAAAGTGTTGCACTATTGGTTTTACACTTCAAATAATTTGTACACAACCCCTGTGCAAATGGTAGAGAACAGAAAATTACTTAAAATGGCTTAGATCACAATTATTGTACTAATATTTGGTGCAATTTGTCTGATAATTGGATGAGGTTGGGTGAAGTTAGTTTGACCTCCCATATCAATTTGAAATCAGAAATTCCACCATGGTAAAAAAAACACAATGCAATTAGCAATTATATATTCAACCAACTTTGCAAATGCAAAAGACCATGTATGGAAGTAACCAATATAAACCCATGAAAAACCTACTATCTTGGTAGGAAACTCACTAGGTTTTGATAGAGAGCTAGTGTGTTTGTAGCTCACCAGGTAGCAGGAAATATATATCTGACGCAACCAAACAAAACCAGTGAGAAAATGACTATCATTAGCGTAAGCACACTGTTGCAAACATAATTAAAAGAAAGAAAACTGCATTACACCTGTTCGCCTTACCATTTTCACAGTGTACAAGATGTTTCCATAACAGTAGGCCATGATGCCCACAGGAACAAAGAAGCATCCGAGGAGGAAGAAGAGAATGAAGGAAGCGTCGTTGGGATCTTTGGAAGCCCAGTCAAGAGAGCAGCCCAACTGATGGACTTCCAGCGTGTAGCGGTTCCATCCCAGGAGAGGAGCTCCAGTCCAGGCCAAAGAGTACAGCCAGATGTGCGTGATGGCCCTCCAGGCCCAGGGGAAGTCAATGACCTTGGCATGAACCACGCGGATGTAGCGCTCATATGCCAGACCGGAGAGAGTCATAATGGACACGATACCTTAAAGGACAAGAAGAGAAATAAAAAGACATATAGATCGATGGCTGGATGGATGGATGGATGGACGGACAGACAGAAAGACCTCCCAAAAATCACAACATGAAAAATTATAGATAAATAATTATATTTTTCATAAGGAAAATTATAATTTGCATGAAGCCTGTTCAAAGAACTACTGTGTTTCTATTTATTTTTTACATTGTGACATTATTTTCATTGCAGTTAAGCACATTCTGTCCTCAAATTCTCATTACGAAATGTGTCCAGATGTTTGACTTTTAGTTTGTCACTCTCATTATTTTATTTTATTTTTTACTATTCTCTTAAGATTCTGCATGCCGCAAAAATAATTTATCACTTAAAAATATATATTTTAAATAAATAAAATGATGATAGTATATAGCATAGTAAGGATGATAGTAAGGATTTGCTAATGCATTCACCCTACCATGTAGCTGTATTAGATGCCCAACTCCTGCAGCGCAAAACATCCCCCAAACCATGACACTTCCTCCTCCAACTTTCACTGATTTCTTTATGTACTCGGACTTCAGTCATTCCTCAGTTCGATGCCGAACAAAATGTTTCCCATCAGACCCAAATAAATTAAACTTGCTCTCATCACTAAAGTGAATTTTGGACAGTTCTCCTCTCTCCGCACAACATGCTCCTCAGCAAAGGTGAGTTTAGCCTTTTGATTCTTTCTGCTGATGAGAGGCTTGGTCACTGCAGAGTGCACTTTCAGTCCGACTTCTCCTAAACATCCCAAGACAGATCCTTACCCATTCAGCACTGAACTGGCGAGCAATTCCAGCTGCAGTGTTGAACCGATTCCCCATAGAGAGTCTCCACACTATCCTGTCTTCTCTTGCATTTGTCTTACATGGACGAGCAGCCTTTTTGGGGGGCTTGAATGAATTAGTCTCATTGTAAAGCTACAATATTCGAGAAATCACAGATTTGGAATGCAGCTTCTCTGAAATATGATCTAGACATGTTCATGGGAGATTTTGAGGAGATGCTATTGATGGTGTGCATTGTGAAAAGTGTTAATATAAATAAATATAAATGCAAAACAACGTGGCTTCACTCTTTTACAGAATTCAAGCTCCCTGGAAAGAGTCTTACTTTCAGCAGATGATGGATTATAGCAATTGGTATCACTTCTAGAAGTAAATAACTGTATCTCTGAACTGCAGTATTCGCAGAGACTCCTCTGGCAAAAGACTCACAGACACATTCCCCCAGTTACCCAGACATCCACAGTCCTCTGTGAAAGAGGCAGGCCGGTGGGGAAGCAGCACTAACGTGTTTCCTCTCAGCTGTCAGATGTATTCACACAGACCTCTTTTTTTCCACAGAACTGGCTTAGTAAATTTGATGTGGAATATGATGCAGCTACATCTGTTGAGCTACATCTCATCTCATTTTTATTTAAATGAGTCAATTCTCAAGGAAGCAAAAATTTAGGTCATAGACACAAAAGAATCCTCAACAAACAACTGTTAGTAGAAGCATCAAACACAGCAAATTTCACATCTAAATGGGTCAAATGAGGGAGTATGGAAACAATCACGTGTTCCCAGATAGCACATGTACGTCTGCAATATGTCTGTTAAAGATAGCTTCTTCTGGAAAGCATCTGCGGTGTACAAAATTCTAATAGAGACTTCTCTAAGATGTCAGTTTTACATACATTCTAAATCATAAACATCTTAAAGACATTTTCTAAACGTCTATTTGACATCTGATAGGAAATGTCCTATAGATGTATTTCAGATGAGAAAACACTCTAAAAAATATGTCTTGCAGATGTCAAATAGACGTCTCCGTGATGTGCGTGTGCTATCAGGGTTATGATAATCTTTGAAATAACATCAGTTGTGACCTTGGGGGAGAAGGTGCATAAAATGACCGTCTATCTTTAAGAAATGAGATTATGGTATTCTCCTCAAAGCATATCCTCTCACAGGTGCTTGATATTCTGATATTCCTGCTGGATATTTCTGGTGCATTAAAGTGTCATTATCTGACTCCATTTGACTTCATCTTTCCCTGCGCCAGATGGACTTTTATTTCAATAAATGTGTCATAGTTGTACACTTGGAGTTGTGTCTTGCCTTATGTTGTAAATAGTCAAATATTCAAATAAATCAAATAATTAAGCATAAACGTTCTTACGACTGTGAATCTGATATAATTAGATAAGGAAACCACTCATTTCCTTTAGATAATTTGCTATATGCTCTAAATAACTTGAATAAGATTGAAGATGATGATCATATGAGATCATTTGCTGTAGGAAAGACAAAATGACAGTGTTTTTTTTTTTTTAAATAGACTTTTCATCCCGAGACAAAGACTCTAAAATCTCACATGCCACTTCTAGGGTTTAAAAAGATTTCTCAACAATATTTAAACTGTTTGATTTACAAAGACTCCAAAAGTATAATCAAAAGTCAGAGATCTCAAAATTCAAAACTCATCAAGTCTATGTAATGCTATGTAGCTAATGTATCAAGTAATGCTATCCAAAATCATTTTATAGCGCTATACTCTTACATGTTAACAATGCAGGCTCTTTTGTAGGCTGTTTTATTATATACAGGCTACCGCTGCATACGTCCAGGCAAGGGCGTTTGATTTTGGCATTAGTGGGGACATAATGGCAGACAACAGACATTTAATTGTTTAATCAAAATTATTGCTACAAAAGTCAGAGATCTCAAAATTCAAAACTCATCAAGTCTATGTAATGCTATGTAGCTAATGTATCAAGTAATGCTATCCAAAATCATTTTATAGCGCTATACTCTTACATGTTAACAATGCAGGCTCTTTTGTAGGCTGTTTTATTATATATAGGCTACCGCTGCATACTTCCAGGCAAGGGCGTTTGATTTTGGCATTAGTGGGGACATAATGACAGACAAAAGACATTTAATTGTTTAATCAAAATTATTGCTAGGGACAATTTAGTAGTCGCTGGATATTGCCTAGCGTCCCTACTAAATTCTACGCCTATGCTTCCAGGTGACATACACCGTAAGGTACGGCGGTTAAGTTAGTTTGATGTTTGACATTCATTAGACATTCGGGTTTTTTGCCAATTAAACTCTTAATTGGCAAAATGTTTTGAGCCCAAACTAACTCAGATAGACATAAATATATGCCCTTTATGTTGCACAAGGCTTAATTTCTAGGAATTAAAAAAAAAAATTTAACCATTTAAATTAAACAATTGAACTACTTGACATTATAATATAAAACCAATACTAAAATGTTCGGGAAAACATACCTGTTATCGCACAAAACTCCGTTTTTGGAATTACAATTTTATGTTTTTTATAATAATTTTACAACTTTTAATGTATGCAATAATATCAATCCATTAAACAACACCACCATTTGATCTAAAGGTATCAAACCAACTGTAAAATATTCAGAATAGTATTCCCTATAATGCACAAGGCTTGGTTTTCCAGATTATGCCTTTACTGTTTTTATATACAGTACTGAATCCATATTTGTCATGTTTTATAAACGGTACTCACTTACATGAATTAAACTCTGACACAGTTTGAGATAAATGTATCAAACCAACAAGGCTTGGTTTTTCTGATTATGCCTTTACTGTTTTTATATATAGTACTGAAACCATATTTTTTTCATATGTTTTATATACTGTACTCACTTAAATTAATTAAACTCTGACACAGTTTGAGATAAATGTATCAAACCAACTGTAAAATATTCAAAATATTATTCCCTATAATGCACAAGGCTTGGTTTTTCTGATTATGCCTTTACTGTTTTTATATATAGTACAGAAACCATATTTTTTTCATATGTTTTATATACTGTACCCACTTAAATTACTTAAACTCTGACACAGTTTGAGATAAATGTATCAAACAGAAACAACAGACAGTAACCTGCCCAAAGACAGGAAATTATGTGACATGACTGTATCTGAACAGGTAAGTCATGCAACAACTTCAGTCCATGTCAATGACAACAATCACATTAATCCAGATGAATTTTTTTGATATGAATGTTATTTTATAAATAATGTAATTCTACTAATTTTATAGGTGGAGTTTTTGTGGACATGTCCAGAAACAGAGATGGTTGTGTTAGTGTTCAAAACAACATACACTCTGAGACATGCAGACTTCACAACACTAAGGCCCCACGAACTGTTAAATGGCGAGGTAGGTCTGTGACAGTAGAAAACTTTTCAAAAGTTCACAGTTAATACCACAACATCCAGGTCATAACCTCTGGGTCACAGGAGTAAGGTATGAAATAAAGGAAGGAAGGAATACAGGGAGGGAGGGATGGAATTTTTGACAATTTGGAATTTAAAAAATTCTGTCAATTTGATGGCTATAGTTTCTCAGTTTATATAAACGTTTACTTTTGTTAATGTAATGCTTCAGGCCATGGAATGTTACATGTGGGCAGTGCTACAAAAACACAAGAAGACTGGTCATCTGTTTCTACTGAATCACTATGTGACAGACTTAATTGTGCACGGCACACGTCAGCAGATGGCTCGACAGGGTTTGTCAAATGTGAGTTCATTTCACATTGAAATTTTCTTAAACATGGCAGTCATTTTTAATTTAAATGGGTTATTACACTGCACAGTAAGTGTGCAATGCATTTAAAAAAAAAAAAAGAAAGAGAAAATTCCAGAAATTCCTGTAACGCATCACATGTTGCATTTCAAATGGAATTGAGTGATTATGGTTATGACCAGTAATTATGAATCTTTTTTTTTTTTTTAGAGAATACTTCAAAATGAGACGAAACAGGCTTGGAAAAGAGGAATGGACAGGGATTAAATGGCAGACTGGCTCAATAACCCACACATTCCAAAAGGATGGCACCAGTTGTGGGGTGTTTGTGATGGAGGTATTACCAAAAAACATAAATATATTTTAGGAAGGGAAAGGAAAGGAAAGGAAAAAAACTTTGTGCTTAACTATGAAGAAATTCCTTTGTTAGAAATTCTGTTTATGTGCTGTATGTATTGCATTTCTGAATGTTTATTTCTTAAATACTATAGATGGCAAACCAAACAGTTGTACAATTCCCAGAAATTCCCGATGCCTTTGACATAAATCCATCCAAAACTGCCATTTCAAAGCTCCGAAAAGAAATGGCTGCATTCTTGCTTTCAGCCTCAGGTGATGTAAAGAAACAATTTGTAGATTACATTTGTAACACAATAGAAGTAAAATATTATATGACAAACTGTTATTTTTTACTCCGCTATGATTGAAAAAAAAAAAAAAATGTATTATAGATTCAAAAGATGACTTCTGTGGGTTGTGTGGACTAAAAGAGCTTCCACAAAGACCGAAAAGAAATGGCTGCATTCTTGCTTTCAGCCTCAGGTGATGTAAAGAAACAATTTGTAGATTACATTTGTAACACAATAGAAGTAAAATATTATATGACAAACTGTTATTTTTTACTCCGCTATGATTGAAAAAAAAAAAAATGTATTATAGATTCAAAAGATGACTTCTGTGGGTTGTGTGGACTAAAAGAGCTTCCACAAAGATGTCAGACACAGCCATTAACTGGGTAAATGGCCTTTTTATAGTATTATTTAAAATCTGTTAAATAAAGTTCACCTTTTGAATTATATTCTTTATAATTGTGTAGTGTTATCTTCTTTCATGTTGTAATTTTTATTTTTTTAATTTTTTGGCAGACTCAATGCGACAGTTGTGAACACCGGTTTCACAATTCCTGCCTGACTTCAGCTGTCCCCGATGAACAATCTCCATGGCACTGTGTCTTGTGTGCAAGAATAGGACATTAACCCTAGAAAAGGCATAGGCAATGCAATTTATATCCCAATGTTTACATTTATACAATTGCACTATTTTGGGTTTTATAATTGAATGTGTGTGTGTTTATTTTATATAAATGTTTTTGCACTTTTTGGGGTTTTATAACTACATGTGTATTTTGTGTATGATTCTTTTTGCAATATTTTATATTTTATTACTATTTTTTTTTCTTCAATTGTCTCTTTTAAATACTGTTCCTCTTAAAAATCATACAAAAGTGGATATAAATGGGTTGATATATTGTATATCAATATATAGGTGAATATTGTATACTTGTATATCAAAACTGTACTCATAATAAACCTTGTGCATCACGCAGAATAGTATTCTTAGAAATCTTCAGTTGGTTATATATCTGTAGCTCAAACGTTGTTTAATTTTAATGGATTTTTAAGAGTATTCACAGAGCTGTAATAATATTATAAATACTCATTTGCTTATGTGAAATGTCTTGCCAACTTAGTCATGCAGGGTGGTCAGTTTCCAAATAGTTTATTTGTCCGGTTTTGTTTCCGTGGTAAAACACGTTAAATTGACTCACGTATGTATGGTAATATTATTTAATGGTTTTATTCTGCTTATACTATTTTTAAATCCTAGCTGTGCTTTCTGGAGCGTTTTGTGTAGCACCAAGTTCCCTAACTGCTGCCAAAATAGGCTACTCGTTGTGACAAAAATGTATTTCTTGATCAGACGAAGTAAACATTTAAGAGGAAAAACGAATACGAATGACTTTCTTTGAATTCTTACTGCATTCTTTGAATTAAACTTATGCAGGTGACTCTATCGATACACGCGGGACTAAAGAAAGAACTGACCGAATAAACTGTTGCTGAATCCATCCCAAACACATGTGGCAGAGTTAAAGATCCATCTTCTCTTCACGCACGAGACGAATGTGAAATGAACTCCAGTGACTGACACCAGCAGATCGCTGACACTTATATTCACTATTAACAAATTAGTTGGCGTTCGGAGTCTCTTGAACCTGTAGTAGAGAATAATCACGATGATATTATTACAGAAGCCCAGGACACCGATAGATCCGATGGTGAACGTCAGGAGTTTATAAGTCTCATCGGCGAAAATATAATCATAATCCTCAAGGTTAGTCTCAGGCGATGTTTCATTAAAATAACTCATTTATTTTCTAAGTGACTGTCCAGCATGGTGACTGAAACGCCCGATGCTCAGTGACCCGATTCAGCAACCCGTCCAGAAGCAATCAGGGAGTCGACTAGTGATTGTAGTTCAGTAGGCGATGTCAGTAAGGTTGAATTCGTCTCAGAAGAAAAAAGTCACCTACATCCAGAAAAAGGCGTGAAGGTTCCTCCTTGATGCACCAGAGACTTCCAGCGTCTCCTATGATTGACTGTCACTGCTGAATGAACGCAGATTGAGTGTGTAGTGCTCTGTTATGAACACTAGTCACAGTGACGGTGATGGGGCTCTGCTTTACTGCGCTGATTTGAAAACTACAAGAACGGCGATGATGTGCATATAACGTGCAGAGAGAAAACAGTCTTATAATGCTTTTCCGTATTAAATGCGCTATTAGCGCAAGATTAGTAAGTAAAGTTACTTGTGTACACAATGGTATGGCCCCACCTCCACTTAATGAATTCATTAGACAAAATTTTAACTCATTTACTAGAGCCACTAGGTTACTAGAGGGGACTGTATAATACCACGTAGAAGTGCTCTTGCCCTTACCAAAAAGTAGTATACTTCAAGTTTGTTTTATTAAGTATACTTAAGTAAAGTTCAAGTATATTTTAAAGTATACTTTATGTAGCAAGTATACAAATATCAGTGTACTAGTAGTATACTTGTAAGTGTCCATCTTGGGACTAAATTGGCCCACTTTCTAGTATATAAAAGTATACTTTTAAGTATAACAGTAGTAAACTTTAAGTACACAACTAGTTTACAACAATATTTTTAGCTTGTACTGCTACTATACTAAAAGTGAACTTATATGAATACTGATTTTCTAATTAAATACTTGTAGTAGCATTTTTAGTACACTTTGAAGTATAGTCTTAGTAAACTACTAGTTTAGTAGTTTTATACTGCAAGTATACTCGTAAGTTTTCTTTAAGTGAACTTTACATCATACTTTAAGTATACTACTATGTCCCTGTTTAGGTATTAATTTGTATATATTTTGTTATATAAATATCTGAACATACAAAACACCAAAAGAAAGAACAGGGTATCTGCTTGTAAACAAAAAGATTTTATTCTAGCTTCATGCATTCTTTTTTTAAACACTTGTAAGTTTCATAAATAATAATAAAAAATAAATAACATTTTGAACAAAAAGCTGAAAAAAAAAAACTATGAATTGGATTCAGAACGATAATCAAAACGTAGATAGATTCGATCAACACCCCAAAGCTTGACAGTCATTATTACCTCTTCATGGGTCGACATTACATCAACGTTACACAGTTTTGATGCTGTTTTATGTCTGATGATCGTGTTAGATTACATGTGGAAGCATCTGTTGTTTCGGTTTCTTCTTTACTTGTGTTTTTGGAAATTCTGAACAGAAAATGTGTACTAGCGCGCCCTACAATATAACAATGAAAACACGGATTCTAGGAACACAAGTATAGCTCAAATATATTTAGACTTTTTCTAAGTAGGCTATAAGTCAAGTATACTTAAATGTAATTTTAAGTATATTTCTGAGAAGTACATAAAGCCCATTTCTGAGAAGTACATAAAAAGTAGACAAAGTATACTTTCCTATTTTTTTGTTTAAAAGAAGTATACTAATAGCACACTTGAATAAACTTCTTTTTCGTAAGGGTGGGCAGTCAACATTTTCCTATAGAGCAGAGCAGTACATACTTGGAATAGGCTACTATACCTATAGAACTAAGAAATATTACATCTTTTGTTTCTTTTTTTGAATCGATAAAAGGGTGGTCATTGGATAATCAAACATGTCTTCATAATTTTGAAGTAGTGGTTTCTTGCTTGATTCTGGTTTTTATAAAGTATTTTATGCGTGTGACTATGTTTGCTGGCATGTTTGTTCTTCATGTAGCCTACTTGTGGACTTTGGTTTTTATCATCAACCTGTCAGGGACTGCAGATGAAAATTAGCTTGTATGGTGATGTTCTGCATTGTGTTTACTGCACTGTTTTGAAAACTTATAAGAATGGCGATGATCAGTATTTAATGTGCTGAGAGAAAAACGAATAATAGTGGAGATGAAGCTCAGTATATAGCCTACTGTGTTGTTTTGAAAACTTATGGCAGTACTATGTTCAGTATTTTATGTGCTTATACGAAGACTGAATGGCGATGTCCAGTAGCCTATTAATGTGCTGTTATGAACAATCACAGTGATGCTCATTATCTACGCGGTTTTGAAAACTTGTGGCAGTAATGGAAATATTCAGTATTTTATATGATTATATGAAGACTATGTAATGCCGTAAAAAATGTGTTAGGATGCTTATGATTTGAATGGTAATGTTTAGCATTTAATGCATGCACATGTATGAAGACTAATCACAGTGACAGTGATGTTCAATATTTAATGTGCTGTTATGAATACTAATAGTGAAGATATTATGTTTTGTATTGTACGGACTGGAATGAACAGTCTGTTATGTTCCATATTTAATGCACTGATATGAGACAGACAAAATAAATCAGCTAAAGCAAATCAACCTCCATTAGTCATGAAAAGGTTATGAACTTTCATATTTAATTCAAGGGTCAGAGAGAAGGAAATAGGCTAGTACAGTAAAACAGAAAGATAAAATCTGAATCCTTTTTTATTATTAGTGAAATTTTAGAGGACCCTATGGTAATGATTGTTACTCAGTTTCATCTGGCACTGCTGAATAATCAGACTGTAAAATTAAAGCAAACAATCTCTACAAACACTCCCTCCAATGTAGAAATCATTTTAATATGCTGTATCCAAACTTCTGACTGCAAATATATATGCATTATATACAGAAAATGTACATAGTGTGCATAGTATACATACTACATGTGCTGATATAAGATGGTAGTATATGATTTTGAACACAGCCATAATGCAGTTGACCCATTTTTTAACCACTCTCCTTGTTTATGTAAGCCTTTTGATTTAATCCTCATAGAATTGCGGATTCACAGTATAAGAACCTGAAAATGTGCAAACTGTACAATTATTTCAGCAGCTTGCAGTCGAAACTTTGATCTTTGACATGAAAATGTGTTTCCTAAGAGGTTCTTCTTAGTACAGCTCAGTGTTTGTGAAGAAAATATTCCTTGTTGATGAATTGGGTCACTGTTTAACCTAATTGTCCTAGAATATTCTTAATATAAATCATCTATTACATACAAATCTGAGTTCTTATTGGAACAACATCAGAGGATTTTTATCAGCATTTTATCTTCCCTGCCCAGTGACATTTACACAGCTTCCATAAGTGTTTAGAAGAAGACATCTAGAGATCTGGAGAAATATTTGATTTATTTACTAGCTTTTTGAGGGCATGTCTCTGAATTCAGCAGGAGTGTGGAAAACAAAACATTAAAGGTGAGCTGTTGTAGCTGTCAGATCTCATTCACACTTGTGCAAACTCAAAGACAGTGACGCACACGGTCTGATGTAAGCAATGTCAAACGGCATTGGTTATCGCACTTCTCATCGCAGATTGTGGCAATTAATAACATTTTAGTCTCTTCCTCACATAATATGGCTTGAGAAAACTAGAAATATGAATTAATGTGCATTTTTGTCAGCTGCACTTATATCTTTGCTGTATAGAAAAGAGCAAGTAATGCAGGTTTGGAATTACATGAGGGTGAGTAAATGATGACAGAATTTACATTTTTGCACTGTAAAAATAGAGTAAATATTATTGGGGTATGTATTACAAGAAAATACTATTTCAGTCTTTCAACTTCAAAATGTCACATTTAACTCAATGCATTACTTGCTATTTCTTTGTAATTATTTGTGAATTTTACTCGCAACTTTTTCAGCACGTGAATTGGCTTTTTATGTGACAGAATATCTCATTTTGATGCCATTATGTGAAACCCCTTGCTGATTAAACTCTACATGCTGTGTGTTTTCAGTAATTACCTAGAAAAGAGTTTGTTCCCCTCCCTCACATCCTCATCTGACTCACGTCTCTGGAAACTGGGTCGTTTCATCCATGCATCTACTCTTTTTTTCTCCTCTCTGTCTTTCTCGGTGTCTTAGTCTCTCTCGCTTTAATAAGAAGTTAATTTTACAGTTTACGACACAGCATACCGACTGCTGAATGGAGTCTAATTATGAGGAGCTGGGATGTGAATGAGTTCCAACAGTCCCTGATGGGAAATAAAACTACACACTGGCCCAATTCTCTCACTCTCTCTCTTTGTTTTTGTCAGCTACACCCATCCTTTTCCCTACATGCACTGCACTGGAGTGTTTTATACATCCACGAGTCTAGTCAAGTCACAGTTGATAGTTATGAGTCTAGTCAAGTCACAGTTGATCGTCATGAGTCAAGTCAAGTTACAATTCATTATCATGGGTCAAATCTAGTCACAGCTGTTCTTCCTGAGTACTGTCAAGTCACCACTGATATTCAGGAGTCAAGTCAAGTCACAGCTGATATTCAGGAGTCAAGTCGCAGCTGATCTTCATGAGTCAAGTCAAGTCTCAGCTGTTCATCCAGAGCCTCATCACGTCTCAGCTGTTCATTGCTAGCCATCAGAGGTCACCCTTCCCATTTCATTGACTCTTGCACTACACACTGTTGCATATCACCCCGGACTACATATCCCATCATCCACTGCACTAACGACACACACACTGTTGATTGCACAGCACTGATTGCACACAGCTGTTATCACTCACACATCCCCTATTTAACTCTCACTCTAATCCCATTGCACTGCCGAGTATTGTTCAGCGATTATCACTCCCCTAGCGATAGCTACACTACAGAGCCCTCAGTCGTTTCCCAGCCTTAGCTGTTTTCTCGGTTTCTGATCTTCGCCTGGTTTCCTGGATTTCTCCCTTAGTCTTGCCCCTTCTGATTCTGTCTGCAGTTCATCGACCCACGCTAGCACTAGGATTATTCTTGTGTTTTGCCCGCCATATACCTGTCTGCCTCTGTTTGACCCTGCCTGCTTTATGACCACGTCTCTGTCTTCTCCACAATAAAGCTTTGCGAATGGATCCGCACGTCTCACGTCTCATCAGCCCCGTTACAGAATGAATGCCTACAAATACTAATGATAACATTAAGATAGATTTCACTGGAGTACAGTTTAGTACGGTTTAAAATAAGTACACCCTTGCCTATAGTAAAATTGATATATTCAAAGCAACATGTTTAAGTTTTCATACGTGTGT